GATGCTACCATCAATGTGCGCGCATATTTTCCCCCGAGTTGACAAGTTTTCGTCAAAAGCACTCCATATAGCAGCTATGAGGATAGCTGAACCATTAACGCTCTTTTTCCAAAGATTCCTAGACGCACAGCAGGTCTCTAACATCTGGAAGCAAGGCATCCTCACCCCGATTTTTAACAGTAGTAGCCTTTCAGAGCCCGCCATATACCGCATAGTGATTCTTCTCCCAGTGTTCTTGCAGGTTTTGAGTCCATCATAGCTTAGGCTGTAAATGGATACTTTCAAAGGTTTAAAATCATAGCAACGGAGCAAAACTGATTCTGTCAGCATCAGGCATCTGCGATTACTATACTGAATGCCCGTTGCAATTGGATCGAGAGAGGCGACAGTGGGATCGGCATTGATGTAACGTACCTAGACTTTCCTAAAGCATTTGACTGCCTAGATCGCTGCGTCCTTCTCCAAAATCTGTAAGCATACGGGATTAGAACCGAGTTCTCGGATAAATTGGAAATTTCTCCCTTCGGCGGCGCCTTCAGGTTTGAGTTCGTGGCTCATTTTCTGATTCAAGAAATGTGGACTGCGATGTGCGAAAAGGGTCAGCGTTGGGGCTGCACTTATTCTTGTTTTTTTGTTAACAACATCGCATTTGCCCTCGAGTCATATTCCGTGCTTGTTTTTGATGACATCAATTGGTAGTTAGGAAGATAATGATCTGCTGCAACGACACTTTGACCGCACTTTCCACTGGTCAAATCAAATCTACTTCCGCTTAACGCTGACAATTTCAGCACTGTGCACGTCAGCCACAAGTTCACTAGCTCACATAAGCCTGGAGACCACATGTTGAAGACTGCCTCACAGTAACGTGACCTTGAGCTGGTGATGTACAAAGATAGCTGATGTTCGGCGCAGTCCTTCAAGGCGTCAAAAGCCTCAAACCAACATGCTAATCTCTTACAGAGTGCATTCGAGTGGTTCGACCATTCCATCTTACCCCAAATGCTTAATCTATATGTAGAGCCCCATGTAGAGTACACGATCCAAACGTGACAACCTATATTAAAACGCGAGCTGGTTGCAATGGAGACCGCACAGCGAAGGGCAACGAAAAACGTGCATTGAATTTTCCACTTGCCATACGATATGCGACTGAGAGCCCTGGGAGTGTAACGCGGAAGATATCTTCGTCTGTGGGTTGACCTCATCCTGACGTTCCTGATATTGTCAAACCCCGGTCATGCTTGCCGCTACCTATTGACACTGAGCCGTAAAACAGAATTGAGGTGTAATAATCCGAAACTGGCCACCAAAAACAGTCAGCTGAAGTGCCGCCAGATTTATCTTTTCTTTCGACTTTGTCAACTGTGTAACGCTCTCTTAACATTAGTCATTTTTATGCCCACGCTGACTCTTAACAAACGACTCGAAGATGTTGACACCGCTTACCTTATCTGAGCTGATTACTGATCAGTGAATGACGACAAGGTGCAGACAAACACTAGGCTTACCAACCTCCAAGAAATTGGGGTAGACGTATATACCTTGTTTTAACGTAGATAATAAGGTGACATCACAGAGGAGTTAGTGAATTTAATGTACCACCTTTTGAATCAACATACCATCTCACGCAGCTTATCAAGCCTTGAGTTTGTAACTTCGTTCCATTAGTAACAGTAGCCATGAACCTTGCTGAACAGATGGCCCGGTTCTTCCAAGGACGCCTTGATGAAATACGGCTTCCGATCATGTGAAAACAGGGAATGGTTAATACTGTGTTCAAGAATTGGAATGGTGCCTAACCTCCAATATAGCGCACTCAACTTCCTCCAAGTTTTATCTAAAGTTATGGAAGAAATAATAGCGGATGCGCTCATAAGAGCAACAACTTCATAGTGTCACAGCAACATGGTTTCTAAGAATATCTATCCTGCACCACAAAATTGTTATTAACCCGAGCAAGCTGAACCAAGTCAGCCGATGCCGGAGGTCTAAGTCCTATACCTGAACTTCTATGAAACATTCAATTACCTGGGCCACTGAATTCATCTTCACAAGTTTGGAAGCTATGGAATCGGTGGCCGTATTTTAGGTTGGATAAGCAACGTCCTCATTCAACGTCAGCTTAATACGAGAGTTCGCGATTTCATCTCCGAACCGATTAAATTCCAGTCTTTAGTGCCCCTTTGATTGGTACTGGTATCATATCTGCTCCTAATGTTCATCAACTATCTCGCTCGGATGCTCGGGTCAGAATGCCTAGTAGTTCCAGACGATGTCAAGATCTGGCATGAGATAAAGACACAATAGTACCACGCGGCACTACAAAGAGATCTCTCCAGGGACTACACATGCTAAACCGTAAAACGGATCCAGTTAGTCCTCTGCGGAATGCAAAGTACTGTTCATACGCCATCAGTGCACTCAAGAATAGCGACTGGGAGAGCAGCTGCTGCAACATGCTACACAGAAAAGCAACCTAGGAGCAATCGGGCAGGACGACCGTAGTTGCCCGAAACCGGCCGAAAAGGCATCAGGAACAGCCACTCAGCACGATGGATTCTTACGAACGGCGTTGGGGAAGTACGAGCCATCTTTTCACGAATGTTGAATGCGTACGTGTGGCTCCACGTGGAACATGAGTTTCGCTTTTCTCGACCTTGGCATAACCACGATGCTGCTGCGCTCGGAGATCCAGCAAGTAGGGCGACGACAATTCTAACTGGACTGTTTCACCTCTCCTACCAACGCGGAAGCATGCCATAGACTTGTACAGCAGCTAATACCGGCGCCTTCGAGTAGTTATTTTAATGGTGTGGCAACAGATCAAAATCACACCCGTCGCGAGCTGTTGCAAGTCGGTCATAACACAAACCTGAGAGCTTCATTCTCCAAGTGACCACACCCCAAAGCCGACTTGATTACCGACAGAAGGTATTCTCCCATTAGGTATCCAGAACCCGGAAGGCTGTTCCTTCTCATTCCGTTTCAACTCCCAAATGCAGGCTATTAAAAATCTTTTGAACTACAATATATACCAGTTACATTACGTGACATAGACTGTTTCCATCGAAAGACGAGTTAACGCAATCGGTTTGCCCACCAACCTATTCAGTTACGAGGTGGTGAGTGGAACAGCATGTGCTCAAGTGAACAAGTAGGTGTCACCTTAAATCAGAAATTTCCATTTTCCTGTCATTTTAAACAATAATTTCATAATCATCACTCCAGTCATACTACGGTACTTGTCAAGCAATGCTAGTTTGTCGGATATAAGTTAGTGTTCCTCTTTTAAAATGCAACAACATTCCATTGACAACAAATAGAATGGGCTGATTGCAAAATCAGCCTAGTGAGCGAGGACAAACGGCAACAGATTTCAGGCATTAACTTTGTTACCGGTTCACTACGTTGGCATGTAGCAAACCGGTTTTCTCCGATCTGACAAATATCGAATATTCACATATTTAGCTATTTTGGGCCTACTGCGTGTTGTCCCACTATATTTTCTGTCATACGCTGCATAGATATGCCCCATTTCATTTGGCACATCTATCATTATTCAGTTTATCATAGACATAATTTTCTAACCCTCACAAGATTGCACTTCCTGCTATTTGCAGTGGCTTATTGCAATATTTGGCCCTTGTTGTAGCATGCATCGCTGGCATATTGCCTGCGAAATTTTAACCTGCAGGATAGGTAACAGTAGTGAAGCAAAAGTTATCCGGTCCATCTATCTTTATGGGATTTGTCCTACTAGTTGGATTTCTTACCCTGCCCAATGATTGTCTTGTTATGGTGGTCCAAGCCTAGCCAAGCAGCCGCGAAAGTAAATAAGCATAGTAGCTCATTCGAATGCGCGCATAGGTTGCAAATTGTCACGGCCTGGAGAATGGGCAATACCCACTGTTCGCTGATTACAATGCAGTGTTGTTGTCTCGTCGATATTGGTAATAGTTTGTAGGCATGCGGTTGAGTTCAAGTTAAACGGCTTATATTTACCTAGCTAGTTCATAGTTGTTCTAAAATATAAACTAAAAGTCTTGTTAATATATTCACTTGTTCCATTTTCCCAGGGAACTCCGTCATGAGCGTAATTTGAACACATCCGGATAGTTTATCAAGCTTTCTGTCCACCTCTAGCTAAAGATCACTTGCATCTACCTTGTAATACTATATTTAATACTAGAAATACCTGTAGTACTTAAGAAAGCCACACGCACCACTGTGAGCACGTGCAAACTTAGTAGACAGCCTTAGTTGCATATAAGTGCAGTAATATTTTTGCAAAGAACAAAATCATCATTCTACGCACGTGTGATCAAATGTACAGATGGGAAGAGATAACCTAGACTAAAGCAAATGTGATGATCACCTGAAACGCCTAGATAACAAAACTGACAAATTAGATTCATTTATCAGCCTTAACAGGGTTGAAAAGCAGCGAATATACATCATTAGCTAGTGGAATTCATTAACCATTATATTAGTATGCATAGCGACCTGCACCGGGCTATCATCAGTGCTCCGTACTAAACTACCAATGCTTAACCACTCAACCAAATTAGGGACTCACAGTGCATTCGAAACCATAGCAATCGTAAACTAGTACTAAAGCTTGGCTGAAAATTCCACTTGTCTGCGATAAATATAGATGTTGCGCATGTGTCGCTTCAGGATAGTACCAAGGACAACCGATGTGAAATGAAACGGTAGTATAGCCTCATTGACTGAATCCCGATGTGCCCACTCCAGCTCCGATACTAGTAAACAGACTTGAAAATTAATCTGAGGGCATGGAGAATTTGTGGAATAATTAAAATAAAACATTAACATTTAGCCGTAAGACAGTTTGCAAAACTGACATCGGCTTAGGTGGCCCAAATAAATGGTGCATTTGCCTTCGCCTTTACGTTCACAAGTGCTGCACTTCACATACAATTATCCAGTGGTAACTTATACTGCGTAAACTTTAGATTTAAAGCGAGAAGACAACTCACAAAAACAACACTTCATTTAGATTGTCGTATCAAAATAATACAATGGTATTAACCTAGTTTGTGTATAAGTGTTCCAACAATAATACATTATCACTGCATCATACTCGTCTCAGTCATTATAGTCTGTCCCGCTGTCTGTGTCTAGTTTATGTTTGCTACCGGGACGAACAGGTATTTGTGAACGAGAAATATTTAGTGACTTACAAGAGTTTCGGTATGGAGTTCCTAAGAATGGAAGGGAATGCCGCTGTTTCGATGTACGCAGCTTCGAGGGTAACGTTGCTGCTCCAGGATAGAAAACATATCGTGGGGCATTGACGGAAGGAGAAATGACTTGACTGGTGTATCCGCGCCACGAAGGAAAATGCAGAGCACACAGGGGTTCCCGTCTCTCTAGACGCAAACTATGGCTCGGGCTGGACGCAAATCGGCCACATGTTTCAAACGGAGGAGAGCGGGGTAAGAGCTGATTAGGGGAACTGGAATTAGATGAATTAGATACATGCGAGCAATCATATGTCTCATCACTACAACTGCTACTCAAGCTCTCATTGGTGCGTTTCAGTAGGGGCTTGGTGCCATCAGAAAATGTCACAGTTCCCGCACCTGTTATCAGATTAGCACATGGTGCGGTGTGTCGTGATAGATATTGTGGTGCCGCCAGCTTTACAGCATACGCAGGACCGTAGAAGGCATATTTCCCTGAGCGTTGGTTAGTATTGGAAATGGAATTCGGTGATTCGCTGGTTGTCGATTCCCCATGCGACTCTGCGTACCTCTTTTGCTGGAGCGCGATGGATGACGACGAAGAAACGGGGTTGCTTTTGCCAGCCAATTTTTGAAAACCAGTCGCAATGACTCTCTTCGTATAACCTAATTTAAGGGCGGTTTCATCCTCTTGGGACGTAGTAATAGAAAGCGGACCAGTGCATTCCATAATATTACTGAATGTGTTTTCCGTTAATTCATTCTTTCTGGTGGGCTGTTGATTGCGTACAAGTGAATGCATTGTTTTACTCTGGTATTCGGACGGTTCAGAACCATTTGTTGTGGCGACAATTACAAATGACTTCTGATCCGATTGGTTAATAAAATGTGCTTCGTCAGTAACGCTTGAGGAAAGCTTGAGACGATCGATGTTTACAGCGCCGTGTACAGGGCATGGTGAGGTAAACGCTGTACGTTGAATGGAACTGAGCTGTTGAAAATGGGCGGTGTCGTGAAAGCTGGTCAAGGGGGCAACACGTGCATATATCTGAGAAGATGGAATCGATGGCTTTAGCAACTGTCCTGAAAATGTGGAATGAGCAATATAGTTAATCGGCGGGAGGCCAGTTTCGTTGGGGTTGGAAGTAATTGTGGGAGAAACCTGATAATCCATTATATTTGGAATACCGTAGACAGATGAGGGTGATTCAAAAGCACTTACTTCCGGTATTCGTGTCGCAAGCATTATTCCCGGCTCCGTTCCATCACAAGAAACCAATAAACGATTTGTGTTAACCGACATCTGCTCAGCAGCTGCTTGTCCCACAGGTTGAACAACATCACGCACAGAAAAATCTGAGTTGGTTACTGAAGTCTCAGCGTTTACTAGTGGGATCCGAGTAGGTTTCAGGAGACAGCTGTGGGGACTACTTGAATTGGAACGTGAACGGCCTGCGTCACCATTGGATTTATTGTCCTTCTTATCTGCACCAGAATTATTTTGATTCTTGCCTGATGAAACGTCAGACAACTTAGCACGACTGCAGCATTGCTTCAGTCTGCTCGCTCGTCTTTTTCCCACTAGACTTTGTGACGCTTGATCAGAATGAAAGCGTGGATCACAACAGTAAAAAATCCCGATACCGATAATCGTAAGCAGTACAAAAAGCAAGCTAACCCCAATGCCGGCGTAAATCCAATGTTGTTGACTGACGTTCATGGCACTGAGGATACCACTAGTACCAGGTGTAACGATCACATTAAATGTGGCGCTGACCAAAGTGACATCATCATCCAACACGCAGGTCCAAACACCACCGTCGTTTGATCCACTAATGGTGGTTTGGAGCGAGGTAACGTGTGTTTCACTTGTCATGTGTTGCTTGATTTGATACCGGGAAGAATTGAAAACTACATGTCCGTCCTTGTACCAAGTAACTGGTGTGACAGGGTCTGCATAGAATTCACAAGTCAGCAGCACAGCGCCCCCAACGGGAATTGACAAATTTTGGTTTTCTGTTAGCATCTTTGGCACACAGCGGAATTCCATGGACGTCAATTTCTCGCTGAATATTGGTCGATTATTCAGGTTGCTGGGCGTTAAACAAGTGGGTTGTACAACCATTTGCACACCCAGTTGATTTGTGTACTTTTGCGTGAATCGGAACGTGGGTCTAGAGTGCCGCGAAAACCATACATGAATCCATCTAAGCTTACAGTCGCAATGCCAAGGATTACCCCCGAGGTAAAGTTCCGTTAGCTCATCCATTTCACTCAAAGCCCTTTCGGTCACTTGTGGCAATGAGGACAAGCGGCTGAAGCTCAGATCTAAAAGGTGTAAGTGTGGTAGTCCACTAAATGCATTCGATTCAATGTATAGCGCAGATCCTTTAGTAGGACCAAGCCACAAGCTGTGCAAAATACTCCCTGAGGTAATGCTGAAAAAAGAATCCGGCACCAATTCGATTGGATTGTGGGCCAAATTGAGTAACCTCAGATTAGGCAGACTCTGAAGTAACTCTTTTGGAAAACTGTCATATCCTAAATGTAGGGAATTGTTACGTAAACTCAGGTTTTTCAACTTGGATAGGGAGCGGAATGCATCCGGAGTAATCCGAGACACCTCGCAAGACTCGATTTGCAAGATTTCCAAATGGTGTAAAAGAGCCAGTCCTTGATCTGTCAAAAAGGGGATGTGTTGGTGCTTGACATGGAGTTCTACCAAATTTGCGGGCAGGTCCATTGGAATATGTCTCAGGCGAGCTGATTCGGAATCACAGATAGCTTTCTTCCACTTGAAATCTGGAAGGAAGAACACGCTACATCCATGAACTGCTTCGGCAATTCTGTTCACGTAATCCACATGGAGTAACAGTGCTACCCACCAATAACACACAGGGCGAAATGAATGCCAACGCGGTCCCCGCATTATCCAACCGGTTACACGTCATGACATGGGGAAACAAGGGACGTGACCTTAAGTCAGCCAATCTGGCCGCGCAATTTTGCTCTTGACTTCAGTGGCAACGTATCCACATGAATTGGGTCAGCAGCAAAATTTACTTTGAGCACATACCATCCACTTCTACGCGCGCAGCAACCGTGCGCAGCAACCGTACGCACATACGAACGGGCAAAACAACCACACAAACAGGCGCGATCCCGGTGGCCGGCGGCATTCAATCATCGACATCGATCAGCGGAAAGATCGCGAGGTGATTCAACGCCCACGGGTCAGGCCAGTCACAAGCGCAAAGGCGCATGCTTGCATACTTGCTAAGGCACAAGTGTTTGTGTGTGGTGGGGAGTGTGGACAGACACTTTTGAACGGCCACTCCAAGCGTGTCTGATGACTGGGGCGAAGAGAATTTGACCAACAGATAGTCCCATCGGATGAATGAGTGCTTGGCGCGCGATACGTTTGCCCACGGTTAGGTGTGTCTGCCAGCTTTGTGAAACGGAGTAGACTAGCGCCTAACTAATTACTGCTGCAGAATTGACGGATAGCATCAACCACGGTCGTTTCGATTGGCAGGACTCCTCCGGACATACGGTTTTCGCATGCACCCCAATTTTCGAAAACGCTAAAGGAGTGTAACACAGCAGATTTGATATGATGTGAATAAAGAGAATCAAGCGTGCGTTTGAATATCGGTTCACTTCTAGTTGAATTGTTCTGTTTTAGTCCGAGTAAAGCCAAATTTGATTTATCACACTTTCGATAAATCCTTGAATCCGGTTGCCTATCCGAAAGATTGTTACGATCAGATTAATTACTGCGTTTAAGTCTAGCAATAAAACATGTTCTCGGAATGACCATAGTAATGTATTAGGCAGCACGAGTCAGTCACGGAAAAATAATCCGTGATCTACCTCTCTCTGCCACAGTCTAGTTTGCATCATTCCATTTCGTCATTCTGGAAATAGCACTTGTACGTAGCAAGCATTCTATTGGATACGGCATCTTACAAGCATATAAGATTTCCTACGATGTCCAACTTAGCAGTGAGCAGTCGAGAGAAACATGACTGACGGCCTACTTCCTGGGAAGGCATGATAACGCTATTCAACATCATGTTCATAACAGAAACGAAATAACGTGTTGCTAGTAGTACCAAAGGAGCTGATTACAAATATGCAAGCCAAAGGTTGCTATCGCATCTGGATTTTGTTTAATTTCAGCTTTTCATTTTAGCTAAGCGGTGCATTTCATGCGTCGAATGCTTTCCTGTGATGGGTCCATGTGACTTGGCCATGGTATCCACCTGATACCCAAAGTCAAACGAGAGCTGTGTTCCCTTGATTGATTTCATGATAATGGTTCAAAGACGCTGCTGTGTCAATGACCGAAATCGTCTTAATCACCTTTGTGGACGGTTCATTACAAGTCGCAATGCTGAACCATTTGTTTACTACTGAATTCTGCCTATTATGCATGTTTCAGGATGAAAGTAGGGGATCAGGATAAGAAGTGGACGCCACATATTGTTTGTGTGTCGTAAATCTTCATCTGACTCAGTGGCTAAAGGGCAAAGGCAAAATGCTCTTTGGAATCCCCATGGTATGGAGGGAGCCGAAGGATCTCAGACTGCTACTAATTCCTCACTAGTGTCATCGGATTCTGCAACTGAAACAGAGACAAAATTCATTATCCCGAACTTCCATTATCTATTCGACCTGTACCACATGATTGCACTTTAAAAATTCCACTGCCTCCAGTGAACATTTCACTGATGATGAGTCGTGCTTCTGCATCGTCAGCTTCACCTGATTTTGATATCTATGAAAGTATGAAGCTGCTTATGTCAATCAAATCTTATTGAGCAATCAGAGCTGAAGGACCTGGTTTGTGAACTGAGCTTGCCGGAGGAAAAGTCAGTTGTTACCATCTCGGTTGCAGCAGTGACACTTACTTTCCGCACACTAATTGTATGCATACAGAAAGCGAAGTGTTAAGTTTTCCAGTATATGGCACGAGAGCAACATTTTATTACTGTTCCGACGTGAAAGAACTGATGAGTAAGCTTGGCTACAGGCATATCAGTGATGAATGGAGTTTGTTGATTGACTCGTCCAAAAGTAGTCTTAGAGCCATACTGCTCCACAATGGAAATGTGTACCCGACTGTCCCTCTGTTGCATGCCACCAATATGAAGGAGTCTTACAAAAGTATGTAACAGATACTAGCTGCACTGAACTGCTATAAGTACTATTGGAACATGTGTGCTGACCTCAAAGTCATTGGAACTCTAATGGGTATGCAATGAGACTTCACAACATATTGCTGTTTCTCGTGCTTATGAGCCTAGAGCAACTCACCAGCTCTACACAACAGAAAGTTGTCAGAGAGGACGGAGTAGGCTGCAGGTACAATGAGTGTAAAGCACACAACTCTTGTTCGGTCTGATCGCGTCTATTTACCACAAATACATATGAAGCTTGGTTTAGTTAAAAACCTCGTCAAGTCCCTCAACAACATTGTTTTACCTTTCCGTGCCTGAAAAAATTTTCCTAACATCACTGAGGCGAAGCTCAAAGAAAGGATAGTTACGATGCCTAAAACTCGCCGGATAATGGTAGACAGTACCTTTGAATGCCACTTGACTTCCTTTCAGTTAGAAGACTGGAGATCATTTAAAAACGACAATATATTACTAGCGAAAAGGTATTGAAAAGTGAAAATGAACAATTGGGCTTTATAAGCCCCATAGGGTTGTCTGTAAGGTTATGGAAATAGGTTAATTAGCAAGTGCAGAGAATACTTATACCGTCATCAGAATGGACTTAGCATATCTAATGTACTAGGAGTGCTTACTTAGCCACAATTGGGGAAAAATAATTCCAAGTTATTTCCCGAGAGTAAGATTGAAATTTGTGCCAAGTAACAAAAGATACACGGCTAAGTGCGTCATCCAACCGACTTTTAAATATAGCGAGCGTGGGTGCAGAAATAACCGACCCTAAGAGAGTGTTCCATGGTTGACCCACACCAACGAAAGTTCTACGGCATTCCAGACGGCGGTACTGCTCTGGTAGTTTTAATGAGTAGCTCTATGTTTGCTGTTACTGCCGAGTTGCAGTAAATAGCTGCACAATTTATTTGGATTGTGTACTATCAAATACACCATAAGCAAGTCGCTTTTGATCAGCGATACCGCCAGCTGAATACCACCGAATGTTTCAGCCTTTGTTCGCATGGAACGTGAAGCATTCCAATGCTATTTAGAAGTCCAACCTTGAGGCTGCTGCACTGAATTAAGGTCATTCTACAGCCATGGCGGCCGGCCTTGAATTACATATTCGTCATAGGAGCGAACATGCGCTTTGGGAACCGGTTTAAAATTACAGGTTTACATTTGTCTGGTCGCCTGTCGTTGGAAGCCGACTTGCTGTTAACCAATATTCGATGCCTTTGTGAATTATTGGAACTACCCAAGTTATCTTGAATCGGCAGACCAAGATCGCGCTCAACTAATGATCGCTGCAATTATTGGCAGGCCGAGTAGGAGAAATGGAGTGGTGATCATAAAATGATTGTTTAAATTGACAAGCAAAAGTGAAATTTCTGGTTAGTGTTGACTCAGCATGTTATTCACATCTACACATGGCGTGCCTACAAGATTAACCCCGACTCAGAGACTTGGGGGAATTTCCTAGCCCATCGCAACCATTGCACCGCACTTGTCCGTGAGGACAAAATAACATATGAGGAGCGGAACCTGGATGTATTGGTACAGGAAGATCTCGGGTGTTCCAAACAAGCAGAGAAAGCGAGGAGAACCGGAAATCAACACTTCGGCCTTCTTCGCAGAGCCTTCGGTCGGTTTGAACCATCAATATTTCCCCAAATGCTTAACGCCTACGTGCGACCTCAGGTGGAATATGCTATTTAGGTGTGGCAGCCGTGGCAGAAACAGGATCTCGTTGCTCTCGAGAATCCTCAATGATGGGCAACCAAAACGTCAGGGGCCTCATTCATCTGCCCTATCAGCTTAGATTGAAATCTCTAAGAATATACAGCAGTTGATATCGGCTTTTGCGGGGGATCTCATAATGGTTTACCAGATTCTGAAGAACCCAAACCACATTTGCCCTCCGCTGCTGGAATTGAACCACAACACTAAACTAAGAGGTCACCCTCTGAAACTGACAATTCATTATAGCCGGCTTGAATGCCATAGAAATTTCTTTTCTCTCCTCGTGTGTGAGCCTCGGAATGCCCTCCCTAATTATGTCGTCTCTGCTCCCAATCTGGCGATATTTTACAAACGTGTTGACGATACATTGTCTCACTTACATTTCCTTTTATGACTTGTTAGCCAGGGGCTATAAAACGCAAACAAACGGTTTCTTGCCAAACGCCCAACCGTTGGATTTATGGATTTATACGTTTAATACGCGAGCATCTCTGTTATTCCACATAAGTCTATGGTGAGTCCACTACAACGCTTTTCACTTTATCATGCAATTGATTTTCGCAATAATTTGCATCCCACGGGACTTGTTAAGCGATGCATTTTTACCCGTAATAATCCATTGTCCATTGATCTGCATAACGCTATGTAACAGAGAGGCGTTGCCAATTATTCTCTGCCAGTTACCCTTTTAATGCACCTGAACTATGTTTTTTAATGTACATGGGATAGAGTTTGGGCCAAACATTATTTAAATAGCGATAAGGTGGTGCGCCTAAAACGAGAGAAGGAAGAGCATCCCGGGTTCTGGATATCCGAAGGGAAAAGTTTGCAATCAATTCGCCTGCTGTGTCTGGTCAGTTGCAGATATCCCCTCAGTTTGGTATTGTGGCTGATTTGTAACGGATCGCAACAAGAGTGATCGGAATCAACGTACTTGTAGTGCCATAATAAAGTCTCCTCCTAGGCGCCTGCATTCGTTGCCGTACAGCTAGGTGTTGCAGTCTGCGTGAGTAGGAGAGGTGAAACGGTCCTCTAACCATTTTCATCGCACTAATTTGTGGAGCTTCGAGCGCATCAGTATGGGGTTTGTATCAAGGTCAGAAGACCTGAAATTCATTTTCCATATGCGGCCACAAGTAGGCGTTCAAACCTTGTGAAAAGATAGATGGCTCGAGCTTTCCGAACGCACTTCGTTGTAGTCCACGGTGCTGACTGGGGCTTCTCTATGCCTTTTCTGTTTGTTTCAAGCAGTCAAACTTCTCGTGCACGACTGCCCTAATATGGCTTTCCTGTGTACTAAGTTGTACCGGACCAATTTCAAGGTCGGG